GTTTTTGCTCTTCAATGAAGGTGTCACTTCATTATTTGTCTTTTCATTTTGGTGGTCCTTATAATTCTATGTCAATCATGTTTCGAAGAAGGTGTTACTTTATTGTTGAAGGCGAACGTGGCATTTTTAGTCGTGTTTGATGCGACATAGGTTTTTGCTCTTTAGTGAAGGTGTCACTTCAACAATAAAGTAACACTTTCTTCAAAACGTGATTAACATAGAATTATAAGGACCACCAAAATCAAAAAGATATTCACACAATCTTGAAAGATACAGAATATCATTAGAATTATCCTAAATATCTCTAACATGTACAAAAGTTTATGCTCTTTGGTGAAGGTGCCACTTTATTATTTGTTTTTTCATATTGGTGGTCCTTATAATTCTATGTCAATCACATTTCGAAGGTGTTACTTTATTGTTGAAGGCGAAAGTGGCATTTTTAATCGTGTTTGATGCGACATAAGTTTTGCTCGTCAGTGAAGGTGTCACTTCATTATTTGTCTTTTCATTTTGGTGGCCCTTATAATTCTATGTCAATCATGTTTCGACGAAGGTGTTACTTTATTGTTGAAGGCGAACGTGGCATTTTTAGTCGTGTTTGATGCGACATAGGTTTTTGCTCTTTAGTGAAGGTGTCACTTCAACAATAAAGTAACACTTTCTTCGAAACGTGATTGACATAGAATTATAAGGACCACCAAAATCAAAGAGATATTTACACAATCTTGAAAGATACATAATATCATCATAATTATCCTAAATATCTCTATCATGTACAAAAGTTTATGCTTTTTGGTGAAGGTGCCACTTTATTATTTGCCTTTTCATAGTGGTGGTCCTTATAATTCTATGTCAATCACATTTCGAAGAAGGTGTTACTTTATTGTTGAAGGCGAAAGTGGCATTTTTAGTCGTGTTTGATGCGACATAAGTTTTTGCTCTTCAGTGAAGGTGTCACTTCATTATTGTCTTTTCATTTTTGTGGTCCTTATAATTCTATGTCAATCACGTTTCGAAGAAAGTGCCACTTTGTTGTTGAAAGCGAAAATGCATTTTAGTCGTGTTTGATGCAGTGGATGCTTTCGCTGTTCGGTGAAGGTGCCACTTTGTTGTTGATCTTTTCATCTTGGCGGCCTTCATAATTATATGTTAATCACACTTAACGAAGGTGCCACTTTACTGTTGAAAACGAAAGTGAAATTTTAGTCGTGTTTAATACTAGGGGTGTAAATGGTTCGGTTCGGTTTGTTTTCTTGAAAAATCGAACCGAACCGTTAGGGGTACACTTTTGAACCGAACCAAATCTCGCTCGAACCGAATATGAACCGAACCGAAAAATCGGTTTGGTTCGGTTCGGTTTTCGATTTTTTCTTCTTTTTTCCTTTTTTTTTTTTTGCTTTTTTTCACAGCTTGGTTTTCGGTTTTGGGGTCCCTCTTCTTCCTCCTCCGTCTCCTTCGTCCTCTTCTCCTTCTTCTTCATCCATGGCCAATCTCTCTCACTCCTCCACCTTCTTCCTCATCCTCCTGCTCTTCATCTCTCCATCTCTCTCAACCCCACGAGAGCAATCACCCCACAGCCCCAGCAGACCTTCATCATCCATGCCTCATCCTCCCACAAGCCCTCCCTCTTCTCCACCCACCACCACTGGTACTCCTCCCTCCTCCATTCCCTCCCACCCTCAGACCCTCCTTCCCAGATCCTCTACACTTACCGAGCCGCCGCCGGCAGCTTCTCCGCCCGCCTCACAGCCCCCCAGGCCGAGGCCCTCCGCCGTGCCCCCGGGGTCCTCTCCGTCGTCCCAGACCGCATCCGCCACCTCCACACCACCCGGACCCCTCACTTCCTCGGCCTCACCGAGAGCACCGGCCTCTGGCCGAATTTCTATTATGCGGACAACATCATAATCGGGTTCTCGATACCTGGATCTGGCCCGAGCGGCGAAGCTTCTCCGATTCGGGCCTCCGTCCGGTCCGCGGTGCGTGGAGAGGCACGTGTGAGGTCAGGAAGGGAGAGAATAAAGCAGAAAGGAAGAGAGAGAGGGGGATAGAGGAGAGAGAAAAGTGAGTGAGAAAAGAGTTGCGAAGATAGAGGAAGAGAGAGAAAAGTGGGTGAGAGGAGAGACAGGAGAGAGTGAGGAGAGAGAGCGTACGCGAAAAGAAAAAGAAATACAAAGAAATCGAGATCCGATCCGAACCAAATCAAACCGAACTATCAATTAACCAAATTTTTTTACTTATTATCCGAATCGAAATCGAAACCGAACCGAAAGTGCACGAATTTTCGGTTCGTTTTGATTCGGTTCGGTTCCAATTTCGATTCGATTTTCGGTTCGGTTTTTGACACCCCTATTTAATACGACATAAGTTTTCGCTCTTCGGTGAAGGTGCCACTTTGTTGTTTATCTTTTCATCTTTGTGGCCCTTATAATTCTATGTCGATCGCAATTCGAAGAAAGTGCCACTTTATTGTTGAAAGCGAGGTGGGGATCTCAGTGGTGTTTGGTGCAACAAAAGTTTTGGCTCTTGGATCCGTGAGTTAAAAGCTGACGTGGTTTCGACGAATAGAAGTCTCTCAAGATAAGAAAAACAAAGATGTCATTTTGGGGAGAGGCTTCACGTGATCCTTGTCGGATCCATCCAACATCAAACATGGCTCGGCTGCATCCGACAGCACGTAGAACACTCGACCTGACGGCAAAATTGGATAGTAAAGGAGGTTAAAAATTAGGACAGTGATACAGCCATGGAGAGGTTCCATGAGTGCAAAAAATAGTTTGGATGAATGCGTTCAAACAGTACCAATTTAGAATTTTCTATGTTATTAGCCTTATAATATAAAAAGAGTACTTATAATATACATCACAATTGTAAAAAAGGAATTTCAACAAATGGCGTTATTTATCAACAGTTTGATGGTAGCCACTAGTCAAAACCCTGATATCATGAATAGTAGATAGGATAGCTTTTATCAAAATATATTGACATTCACTTTGTATGTTCTCCTTAAAAAAAGGAAAATGTGGGATAAAAATTGCTGCTTATTCTAGGTACTGCTAACTAGGGTTTCTTGGGGTTTGTTTAGTAACGTTTATGTTTCTAGAAACAATTTCTGTTCAGAAATAGTTTTTTCTATTTCTATTCCCTAGACGAGTTTTTGAGCAAAAAAACGCGTTTAGTAACTGTACAAAATTTCTATTCCCGGAGTAAAAAAAGAACATAAATGTGTTTGGTAGGACATTAAAAATTTCTACTCTCAATTTTTTCATTTAATTATAAAATTATTGGTGGAAACTTAACAATTCATGTTTGGATAAAATTGGACTAGAAATAGAATAAGAATATATTATGATATAGAATTGGATGACCGTAATACAATCATGAAAAAAAATACTCCTTATAGACAAAGCAAATACTGGGTGATGGTCGAGGAAATTACAGTTTAGGAGACTTAACGATTGATGTTTGGATAAAATTGGACTAAAAATAGAATAATAATATATTATGATATAGAATTGGATGACCTTAATACAATCATAGAGAAAATTACTCATTATAGACAAATCAAATATCTGGTAGTCGAGGAAATTGCATATCAGGGTGTATGATTTTAGGATTTGGGGTTAGGGGTTAAGGTTTTAGAATTTCGGTATTGAGGTTTTGGGTTTTAGATTTTGGATTTTAAGGTTTAGAGTTTGGGTTTAGGTTTTAGAGTTTTGGGTTTGGGGTTTTAGGTTTAGTGTTTTGGGTTTCGGGTTTTAGGGTTTGGGTTCAGGGTTTGGGGTTTAATGATTTTGGGTATTGGGGTTTGGGATTTAGGGTATAAGGTTTATGGTTTGGGGTTTTGCAGTTTAACGTTTTAGGATTTAGGATTTGGAATTACAATTTTAGAATTTAGGTTTAGCGTTTAAAGTTTTGGGGTTTAGTGTTTCGGGTTTGAAATTTTAGGGTTTGGGTTTAGGGATTTAGGTTTTGGGGTTTGGGATTTTAGAGTTTAGGGTTTGGGGTTTTTCATTTTAGTGTCATGGGTTTTAGGATTTGGGTATTAAGATTTAAGGTTTTGGGGTTTAGGTTTTGAGGGTTAAGGTTTAGGATTTTGAGGTTTAGGGTTTGATGGTTAAGGTTTAGGATTTTAGGGTTTAAGATTTGGGGTTTTAGGGTTTAATATAAGAATATCTCGTGAAAGAGAGAGAGCTGATCTTGTTTCTTTATTGTTTCTTTTTTTGTTCTAGGAATAGAAAAGTAGATTTTTTTTACTTCTTATTTATATTTCAAATTTATTCCCTAACCACTTTTCTGTTCCGGGAAATAAAAAAACTAACTGACGTTATTAAACAGATTTCTATTCTTTTTCTGTTTCAGGAAAAAAGAATAGAAAAATAGAGAAATATAAACGTTACTAAATAGGCACAGATGGAATGTAAGTTTTTAGGTGTTAACAGTTCATGGAAGTGCCTTAAAGTGACATCAACCCAACTTACTGGATTGGCCGTCGAGTTTTGCGTTTGTGACAATGAAGGCACCAAGAAAGGCATATATCGAACCTATGAAATTTCATATCGACATTATATAAACTGGACGTGAGTTAAAATAAAAAGAGATGTGAAATTGTTTGCATTTGATAGTGTGGGAAATTGAATTTGTATCATGCGTATGATCCACGCACTCGTATTTTCTCCTTAATCGCCGGATGACATTTTGGCACTACCTTTTTTGGTATCTAAAATAGTTGGCCCAAATGAAGTTTTACGTAGAACATGTCCACTGTAGAAATTGGTTCAAGATGAGAATCTTTTGCAAACTCCGCTCTCTTCTGCAGAACTCTTCATATATCAATCTTAATTTGCACTACACTATGACATTGATAAACATCAGGAAAATAAACATGACAATGGCTGGAAAAGAGGATCAATCATGATTCACGCCAATTCCGCGTCACTGTCCTCGTCTATCTTGCGTTGCCTGCACATGTGGATAGGATTAAAGAAATTTACTGTCGTTTAAAGTTGAAGAAGAAGAATAGTCTCGTGAATATCGAAAATGCAACAATTTATGAGCATTCTCTGTCTCCGATTTCTCTCCTGTCTCTCATTGCTGAATCCGCCTACACATTTATGTGGCAAAATTACCTCTTGATAAACTTGATCAGGTACTAAAAACAGAGCATATAAATGAGGAAATGCAAGGAAAAAGAAGGCGTAAAAGCGATGAAACATTACCTGCGCAGACGAAGAAGAAGAAGAGGTCACAGATTGTTTCTCTTTGATGAATACTTGTCGGGTCAATCCGGCTTTGATGTTCATCGCCAATTCTTCCTTCACTTTAATCAAACTAATTTGTCTCAGGGATTCAATATGATCCAATGAAGCAAAAGAAGTTAGGAGTCCACAGTTCTTGATCTCCAGCTCTTCCAGGCGACAAAGAGCGGTTTCTTGTACTGAAGCTTCTATGACTCCCTCCAACTTCCACAATTTGAGGACGCGAAGGCTTTGGAATGAACCTGCGCGACAATTCAACTTTTGACCAGTATAAGAGCCTGCAAATAAGTTGAGAATTTCCAAGCTCTCGAGCTTTCCTAGGGTAGGCATCGGATCAGAGCCTAGTCTTGACATGGACAAGGTCAGGATTTTCAGGTTCCGAGGAAGGAGCTCCAAGTCGTCCCGCTTAGGCAAGTCCTCGAGGGGCTCTCGGTTAGGGAAGCTCCCAAGCAAATACAATTCCACAAGCGACTCGAGTCCCGTCATGTCGCTCAAGTTGAGATCCGAGGGCTGACCGAAGAGATCCCTGGATCTCAGCTTGAGGGATCGAAGCATCGTGAGCTTCGAAATGCACTTGGCTGCTTCCTCCACCACTGGAGAATTACACGTCAGCCCCAATTTATCGAGCCTGGTCAATTTACTAAGCACATCGAGCATGGGACTCGTAGCAGCTCCAATGTATAACCCCCATAAGGTTTGGAGATTGCTCGGGTACTTTGCCAGCGGTGTACGACGATTGGTGGACTTATCAAAGCATACCTCATTCATGTACAGGTGCTGGAGGGACTCCACTTTCCAAATCGAACTTGGCAAATTCCTAACGTTAGTGTGCTTCAAATCCAATGTCTCGAGGCGGGACATGTTACCGACTGATTCAGGGATCGAATCGAGGACCGTCCATCGCAATCCCAAGTACCTCAAGTTCAGCAGTACATTTCCAAGTCCGTCCGGGAGCAATGGCTTGTAAACCCCCTCCAGATCGAGCACCCTGAGCAGACCACAGTCTCCCTTTGAAATCAAGGGCCGAAGCAACTCTTCCACTTCCCTCGAGCGAGTCCCGTGCTTCTGCGTTTTGAAGGACACGTAGGAACGGAGGTGTTGGAGTTGGATGTCGCCCTTCTGATGATCCTCTGTCTCAGCACGCTGCTGAGATTCTTGGTGATAATTAATATCTTGATACTTGACAATCCATGCTGAGCAGCCATTAACTACCTTTGACTCTTCGCTATGGTAAGTGCACTTTGTGTCGGAATGGATCTGAAGAAGTCTAAGTCGCGTTGCCATGTTGCACAAGAAATCATGTAGGAAACTAGGCAGGCGGCACGATTTCGGCCTTACGCTGAGCTTCCTACACCTCACCACATGAACCAAGTTTCGACCAGCCAATTCTTGGAAGCACGCCATGGCCGTGGGCCTGAGCACTTGCTCTTCGCCACCTATGGCTGTAGGATGTTCCAAGGGTCGGACCAATCCTTCGGCGAGCCATAGCTGGAAGAGCCTCCTTGTTGAGATTTCCGAGTCTTTGGGAAAGAGGCAAAAGTAAAGCAAACAGGGCTTGAACAGGGAAGGCAATTTGTGGAAGCTCCAGGAGACGATATCATGGAGCGTGGGATTAGCAGCGTGCTGGTCCACCATGACAGGAGAAGAATCACAGCTCGCTGCCGCAAGTCCTCCGAGCAGCAAAATTCTCGGAGGAGAGCCACTGCACTTGCTCAGTATCCTCGCTGTGAGCCCCGGATCTTCAGCAACAGAGCCGCATTCCCCCAATAAGCGCTTGCTCTGGTCTGCATCTAATTTGTTCAATTTGAGAGGAGAAGTCCAAGGGTCTATAAGTGATGGGATTCCAGGATCCCGACAAGTGACAATGACTCTGCTTCCACTCCTCGCGTCCGCGAGGAGGATCATGAGGTCGTCCATGACCTTGGCCTCATGCAAATTGTCAAACACGATGAGATACCTCAGTTCCATCAAGGACTTGTGAAGGATTTCTTTGAGGTTTTCTTGTTCCATGTGCTCTAGATCTTTCAGTTCCCGCAGAGGCGTTTGCTTCAGTATCTTCACCAAGAGACCTTTCAAGGTGGATTCTTCAGGAACATGAACCCAGACGCGACATTGGAAGCTATGATCTATCTCGAGTCTGTTGTACACATTCCTCACGAGAGCCGTCTTGCCGATGGCTTCTTCTCCCACCACTGAAACGACGCGAAGTCTCAACGAGTCCCGATTGTCATCTTGCACGGTCAACCTAGCTAGGAGCTCGCGCTCTTCATCTTCACGGCCCACAATGTCCGACTCAACCTTCCCATTCCAACGAACCTTCCCTCGATGCGCATTCCTCGATGAAGCATTTTCATCAAGATTAGGCAGATCATTACGAGACAGATCTTGCATTTGGGACAGGTGAGTGGACAATTCCTCGACTCTGGCGACGAAATCGCGGGCCATCTTTTTGGTGGCGCGTACACGTATCCAGAGCGACATGAAGTGGACTAATGCTCGAATTTTTGCAAGGCGGCCCTTGTGGGACTTTAAGTGTTGCGATGCTTCCAGGAGGACCTTATCGGCGATGTCCACAGCACCACGAGCACGATCCAGGAGGCGAGATCGGTCGCTGGTTTGCTGGTCGTTGTTGGTGCCGGATTCCAGTAACTTCAAGGTGATAAATTTATTCTGGAGATCATTTGTAGCCGTATTGATTTGATCGCGTAATCCCTGAGAGAGAATTTTTCCCTCGGAGAGCACGTGTACCGAGTTGTGGATCACGAGTGAAATGGCCACCTCCTCAGCCATCGCCGTCGAATGCAGGTGGGACTTACGCTCAACTCGGCCTCTCTGTTATGCAATGGAATAAGGTTTATGCTGGTATGTATGTATTTGTGAGGGATACAGAGAAGAGATGAAGATGAGGAGGAGGAGGAAGATGACAACCACGAATGGAGAATTGGTTAAGAGCTTTTTGACGCTGACATCGATGTTCTCTGATCGCCAATGGATTGCAATGTTCAATAACGTGATTGTTACCGAGTGCGAGGGCAGTTACATGACTAATGTCAGCTTTATGTCAACTTCAAAAACGCTCAATCATATGTATTGGGTCCTAACGTGGATGCTCAATTATGTGTCGTTTAAAGGCAAAATTTCCCATGCCTAATTCAATTGTAAGATATTATGTCGGCCAATATGCAGTCAACTTATAACATTTACTTGTGCGTAGGCCAAAATGCATATAGAAAACCTCTTGCTCGAAGATTACGCTTTGCCAGTCAAATGGACTAATTGTTTATCAAGCAAATTACAGGTCTTTAAAAGAGATGTGATAGTTGGCGAGACCATGCAAGCTTTTTTTGGTTTTTTCCTTCATTTTTGTAAGTTTAGTTTGGCTTGAATTATCTAAAAACCTTCGCATTGAGTAAATTAGACCTCATGCTAGTGCGCATTTTCTACTCTTAACGAATAGAAAACAACATCTTGCTATCAGGGTCTTCAATACTAATTTTTTTTTCCAATTCAGCTTATTCAATTTAGGAAAGTAAGGGCTCATTTGACAACATTGAAAAATAAGTGCTGAAAATAGAAAAGAAAAAGTTGTTTGATAGTAATTGAAAATTGATCACTAGATATTATTAGTTTCTCGCTGTACATGGAATTGTAATCATTATTGGCAGGATTTAGCAAAATAATTGGCAAGATTCGAATTACTATCGATTGTTTTTTCTACTTGATTAATTAAGTAAGCACTTCCTTACTTACTCCATTAAGTGAGTTTTTTACGTAATTGAATCTTTTAAGGCAACGTTTGCTATAGTTATCAAATAGACTATATTTCATTGAGTGCCAATTTGTTTTAAATGTTCAGCACTTAATTGGATCATCAAACAGACCCTAAGTATTCAAGTTGACCCGCCTATCCTACCGGGTTGTTCACTTTTTGAGTGCTGCGGTTATGTTCTAAGCCTAATGTGGCACTCGAAAATTGCCTCAATGACAGCCTGAAAATGCACATTACATGATGAGGACTTGATTGCATTTTCTAGTAAACTTTTAGGACTTAATTGCATCAAGGCTTGTTTTTTTTTTTTGGTAAGGAAAATTGCATAAAGGCTTGTTCATTTCCACTTAAACATAAGTAAAAGGTATTTTTCTCCTCTCGCACCAAAATCTAAAATATTCTCCAAATTTGAATAATTATGAAAAAATTATATACATATTTACATCTCAACATTTCATGTGTAATGAAACTTTCAATTGTTTGGAGTTACGGAAAAAAGTCAAAATGAGTATACAGCGAGATTTAGATAAAGCAAAAGCTAAAAATCAATCTAGACACATATTTAAGACTTAATTGAACTTTTCAGTAAAGGTGGAGAACTCGCACCATTTAAAATATCTTAGGACTTGTTTTCATTCCATACATCGAGGCTTCGTCATACTTCCGAGACAAGTACCTATAACAAAGAAAAGAGCAAATCAAGCAATCTTTGCCTGTTTTTGCAACTCCCAGTCAATGCCACAACCGCGACTAATACAAATCAAACCGAACGAGCTAGACAGATCTACATGTGCATACTTGACGTGGCATGTAGAGAGCGTATCAAACCAGTGTAGCAATTGCAACTTACCCCTGTGCCGTTGGGGTTTCTACAGCTAGGTGTTCAGCCTAAATAATATCTCGAACTTACCAGCAAGGGTCTACACTTAAACAGTGATTGTGGATTTACTTCTTGCAGCATAAGCCAATGCGCCATTCACGCTGAGTTTTGTATGGAGTAGCGGCAAAATTTATCATTTCTAAAGAGGGATTTCTAGAGATTTTGTATTGATGAGCTTGAACCGAGACTCGTTAAGGAATACCTAGCATACCTTCTGCCAGAATATTGTCAGAATATTTCCGAAACTTTTTCGGACCGGATGAGATTGTAATTGATTATGTAATTTTCGTTATTCCGTACTATAGTCAGTTTCCTTGTCAGATTATTTCCTTTCTCATACAAATTGTTCGTGTAAACTCAAGTTCTACTGTGGGGATACCCTTCAAATTTTTACTCGCATGGAGTCATGTCGATTATCTGTGTCATCTCTCCCGTGAGTGGCATCGCCACAGCACCTTTCATCCTTTGTAGCCTTCATCCACCATCATTCCCTCCACCTGGTCGTTGCTCATCTTTGTGTTGTAGCTGCATCTGCCGTCGATCATGTCTTCAAGACTCAGAAAAGTCACCGTCGAGCTTTGAAGTGAGGTTGCATAGATGTCTGCACGTAGTGGACAAAGTTGGGATCTTTGACGCAGCCGGGATCTTTGGCGAGGCCAAAAGGGTTGCTCGGCAGTCAGAAAATAATATGAAAGCTCCCGTCGATTCCTCGACTCGTCATACTTGAACGGGGTTCCGGTATGTGGCATTGTACTTGAAGAGCTCCCCCGACCCTAGATATCCCTTCCTCATGTTGGTGATGAATTAGAGGTGGCAAATTGAGTCTATAACCTATATTTTAACCCATATTTAATGGGTCAGGAGATAAATGGGTTATTTTAAGTTTTAAAAATAGGCTCAAGTGGGTCAAGAAATAAATGCCTAAAAACTTAGTGAGTCTTAAATGGGTTGAGAAATAACATGTTTCAAACCCATCTAAAAATAGAGAATATTTTCATCAATCTTCTAGTAGTAATGTTGGAAAAACACCCCTAGGAATTTTTATTATTTCCAAACTATTCTTTTTATTATATCTACTATGATAAGTGTAGATGTTCGTAACTTCGTGATGATTATTAAGGACTACGTGATATTCATATTGTATTTATTGGAAGGAGATAGCAAGATGTTCTTGTTCGGCCTGTCCGAAAAAGAACATCAACTGATTATGAAGATCGGCTAGTGATAATTTCGATGACACTTACAAGAAAATCATGTCACTAATAATGATGGGATAATGTTCATCTGAGTATGTTTATTGGTGTATCAAATATAACCATTGGCTACCAGAGCAGCACAGTAGAAGAATTGAAAATCTTTTGTTTGACAAAAAACAACTTTTGTCAGAACTGTCAACGACGTGACAACACCTACAAGACCCATTCTGGGAAACCTAGCTAATCTCCGCAGAAAAGGATTGTTTTGATAGTCTAACTATGGAACAACAACTAGCAAGGTCCTAACAGCTACTTACATCTCTAGACGATCTCCAACGGGAAGATTGAAGAGCTTAAAGTAGGTTAAATATTTTGGTATGAATATGGTTGTGTTTTTGTAATATGGGTTGGGTTAGTTTGGTTTGGTTTGGGCTTAGGACGGGTCGCTAAAATTATAATACACAAAAATGTGTCAATACTGATTAAATTGATCAATTTGGGTCGGATCATTTTTGACATGACCCGACCCAATCGTTTGACAAGTCCAGCGATGATGCCTCCTCAAGTGGCCTATCATACTTGACAATTAACAAGATCACTACAGTTGCTTGGGGGATTATTTGAGGGGTAGGGTATCATCTGTGGAAGTGTCCTGGCAAGGACTGACTTTTGGCATTCGCCCCTTGTGATTCCTTTGAATAGTCAAATCCACGTGTCTGGTCATCATCGAATTCAAGATGTTGCGGGACGGTGCCGACACGTATATATTGTTATTGCAAAACTCACCGAACAAGTCCCACGTCAATTGGATGGTAAAGTCCGAATAGAGTTAGGATGATCGGACACGGTTATTGTTTTTATTCTCTGTTGTGATATTTAGAACACATCACATTTTTATAAGGAGAAAGGAAATGAATAAAATCAACAAACGGTGTTAGAAAGCAAGAGCTTTTGGAAGTGATTTGTGAGTGAGGATTGATGAATGGTAAAATATTAGAGGCAGGGGCCAATTTATAGAGAGCAAGAACTTTTTTGTTGGTTATACCATGTCATCATTACATTGTAGTGTAATTATGACACAATACTTTTGCATTCCATGAACCTTTGATTCTAATGACCCGGCCTCTATGTTACTACCCCTGGATTATAAAATACCCGACAATACACAAAGACATCTAGATCAGAAAAACCAGACGATATATTCAGGAGAGAAACTTGATCCACCTGATGGGATTATATCCGAAACAGAATCAGAATAATCATACAGATAATAGAAAAATTGACACACAAGTTTACCCAGGTTCACCCCCGAATAGGGATACGTCCTGCAAAGAGATTCCACTATGATATTTAGGGTTTACAACCACAACCACTCGTTACAATGATCTCTCATACGAATACAATATATATAGGACTTAAAATGGGCCCAAAGACCAAGCCTATCCGAATCCCTTTAATCCCACAACAAACGAGCTAGCAAACCCGATGTCCAGTCAGCGGGACCCCCGCCCGCTGTCCGATCAGCGGAACCCCCGCCCGCTGTCCGAATCCCTTTAATCCTACAACAAACGAGCCAGCAAACCCGATGTCCGGTCAGCGGAACCCCCGCCCGCTGTCCGGTCAGTGGGACCCCCGTTTCGGGGGCGTTGACCCCGAACCCCCACATTTCGTGTGCAGGGGTCATATATCGTCGGATCATACTTCGATTTCCCTAAGCTCACATGGGCGTGCCCGGTATGAGAAACAACAGTCCCCGAAGTATTCGCCAACTCCAACACCACCAAGCACTATCGTCTTGAACGGGCGCACATAACGAGAGACAATGTAAAAACCGATATGTGTCTGTAGGAGGATCAATGATAGAAACTTATCACAGCTTAATCAGTTCACTAGATAACATCTTTCGCTGTTCTTCCTCTAGTCGTAGGTGGACATCCGGACTCCTTGGCTGCATTGTCGCTTAACAGACTGCAGCTTTAGGATTTAACGAGTCCTGACTTCCATTGTTCATTTACTTATCTTATGCCGAAATTCTTCAGATACGTTGCAGGTGTACCAACCAGAGTGTCTATCCATTGCTCCTTCCGCTTCTGCTCCAAATTCTCGATGCGCCCCTGCGAGGTTCCATCCGGTAGAGTGAGGCTTAGTTTCACCGGAGCCTTCCACCCTCATCTATTATTGCTCATCTTCACCATCTTCACCACGAATATTTTCCTCGTATATAGTCTTAGGAGAGTACAAATGTTTCGGTGCCAGTAATTTGTAGCCAGCGTACTTTCAACAGCTCGGGAGAGTCAAAGCTGCTTACT